ACGCGCTGAGTGGGGATAGCTACAGACTGAAACCTCACGAGTTGAGTGATGTTGGATAGTGCCAGACACATAGACGATTTGAGTGAGGTTAGCTGCATATTGAGACTTAACGGGTTGAGTGAGGTTTGCGACTGCCGGACACATAGACGTACTGAGTGACGACAGCTGCATACGGAAACCTCACAGGCTGATTTGTATTGGAGATTGCCGGACACATAGATGTTCGTGGGTCTGCGAACACTGTTGTTGGAGACATGTGCTGGATGATTTTGTGTCATGCAGACTGGTAAGATTACCGTTTGGTAGGGGGCACCACGATGATTCACGGGGCCCCTTCTTGCTATAGGAGCCGCTCTTTGAGCACTCCCTCTTTCGTCCGTGTGAAGGACGGTCGTCGACCTCTCGTGAAGTTAATACATCACCAAAACAGTCTCACCCGATAAATAAGTGGCGTAGGCCGCAAACACTCTAGAGTTTTGCCCCTCGAGGGAAGCCACATCGGGATGAGCTCTGCTGGAGACGAAGAGCGCGCTGCTGCGAGCGGAGAACAGATCCGCCCGCCAGTGCAGGAGGGCCGCGACGCGGAGCTTGCAAGTTTGCAACGGCAGATTTCGCAATTGGCGGCCCTGGTGGAGGAGTCGGTGAAGAAGAAGGAGCCTGGCAGCGTCGTGGCGGATGCAGCCAGTAGGGGTGGCTGGGTTGCTGCCCCCAGAGGCCAACGAGAAGAGCCCACGCTGCCGCTCGGCGGTGGCGGGGGATTTCTCCAGCAGCAAGCGAGAGATAGTGGGCAAGGACCACGGTCGCTGCTGGAAGGCGGCTGGGCCAGCAGATCGGTAGCGAACCCTGTTGGATCAGCCGAAGTGGGCCCGGGCGTAGGACCGGACTACGGGGAAGCGAGGGGGTTAAACCCCCCAGCGAAGTTCCTGTTGGAGACAGCAACGGCGCTGGATAGGGCCGAGATCGTCAGGATCGTGAGCACGGTGCACGCGAGCCTCCCGGAGGGAAGGAAGGCCTCGAAGGGCCAGCGTAGGGCGGAGCATGCTCTCCTCGCGAGTGACGGTGGCGGCGGGGGAGGAGCGCCGGGCCGCGGCAACAGCGGCCGCCGCAAGGGTGGCGGCGGCNTCACTACTGCTGTGGTAAAAGAAGCCAACAAAGCAATCGTCAGCAACTGAAAGAAGGTGGTACGATGTGGGGTACCGGTTAAGTGGTGGGATGAGGAGCTGAAAGAAGAAATAGGGGAACGTAGAGAAGTCTTCAAGTACTGCTACACAATTGGGTGTGGAAAAACGAGTATACGCCAAGTAGATGGAGGCAAGAAGTAGTTGTGAACTTGTTGAAAAAAGGAGACAAGACTGACCCAAGAAACTACAGGGGGATCACACTGTTGAATGCAGCAGGAAAAGTGTTCTGTAAGCTGCTGAACGATAGGATAGTGGGAGTATTGGATTAGGAACGTAGCATTAGTGAGGGCCAGGCAGGTTTCCGAACGAAGAGGGGTTGCGTAGACCACGTATTCACGGTAGGGAGAATCATCCAAGGTAGAAAGCGGGCGGGAAAGCCGACGTACTGCTTCTTCCTGGACGTGAAAAAGGCATACGACACC